TCTGGTTCTTGGAACTTGAACTGGCCTCCTGATTTGATTTGCCATCTTCCACAATCTTGCCAGCCAACATCCTGATTTGGTATGTGAGCAGAATCCTCCAGACTGATGTCTAAACTGTGGATTTGGGACTTCCCAGCCTCCACAGTTTGGTACTAGTTGATTACTGGAATTAAGCAGTGGGCCAGCTCTGGTAGCTTTGTTGCAAATCAGGCTGCTAACTTCAAGGTCAGCAGTTTGAAACTACCAGCCATTCTGTGGGAGAAAGATGAGGCTTTCTATTCTCAGACAGATTTAGAGAATTGGAAACTCTTTGCAGGGTTACTATGTGTTGTAACCGAGTCATCATTACACAATCATCACCACCATCGTAGGGAAGTGGGAAGGTGTTCGGACTCCTTTTTTTTTTGGAGTCCTGGTGTGGTGCTGTGGGTTAATGTGTTGGACTGCAAAGTCAATTTGAGTCACAAGGTCAGTGGTTCAAGTTCACAAGTCACTCCTCGGAAACCTTATCAGGATCACTATGGGTCAAAACTGGCTCAATGATGCTTAGCAACAACAAACAAGATAGCACTTTAAAAATCAGACATTTGGGATATCTTTAATCTCCATCTCTTAGGAAGCAACCTCATGATGATCCTTCTAAAATAAAAATTTCTAGCATGTTTCCTTGACTATACAAAGGCATTCAACTGTGTGCATCATATTAAATTGTGGCTAACATTTGAAGAATTGGGATTCTAGAACACGTCATAGAGCTCACATGTACCTTGTTTTTAGACTAAGTGGCAGTCATTCAACTAGAACAGGGGAATATGGTGTGGTTTTAAATCAGGAAAGTTGTGTGTCAGGGTGGTATCCTTTCACCATACTTATTCAATCTGTATGCTGAGCAAATAATTATAGAAGCCGGACTATATGAAGAAGAAAGTGGCCTCAGTATTGGAAGAAAAATCATCAACAACCTTGCTGACTGCTGAAAGACATCAGGATTTAAATTACTTGCTAAGGAAGATCAGAATCTACAGCCTTCAGTATGTACTACACCACAGCATAAAACGAAATAAAACAAAAAAGTCTCTACTCATAAAAATACTTATAACTGGGCCAATAAGCAACATCACCACAAACAAACTATTGAAGTTGCCAAGGATTTCATTCACTTAGATTTATAATGAATGCTGATACAAGCAACAGTTGCAAAATCAAAGGACATATTGTTGTTGTTGCTGTAAAGTGTTGTCAAGTTGGTTCTGACCCATAGCGACCCTGTATAGGGTTTTGAAGGAGCGGCTAGTGAGCTTAAACTGCTGAGCCTTGCAGTTAAAATGGCTTTGCAGTCTGGTGCATTAACCTACATCACCACACAAGGACTCCAAAGGACATGTTGTTATTGTTAAGTGCCATGGAGTTGGTTTTGACTCATAGCGACCCTGTACAGGGTTTCTGAGGCTGTAAATCTTTACGGGAGCAGAAAGCCTCATCTTTCTCCCAGAGCTCCTTAAAGGACATGTTACATTGGGCAGATTTGCTGTAACAGATGCCAAAATGAAGACTAAGCATGCCTTACCCAATCCTTGTTATTTTCAGTTGTATGCTTATACTCATGCTAAAGCTGGACAATGAATAAGGAGGATTGAAAAAAAAATAATTGATGCCTTTTAATTACGATGATGACAGAGAATATTGAACATACCACAAACTGCCGGAAGAATGAACAAATCTGTGTGGAAAGAAGCCAAAAATTTCCTTAGAAGTGACGATGGAGAGATTTTGTCTGATGTACTTTGGACATGTCGTCAAGATCAGAGACTAATGGAGATTAGAATCTCCAGCCTTCAATATGGATTATACCTCAATGTAATGAAAACAGAAATCCTTCTAACTGGACCAGTAAGCAACATCATGACAAATAGAGCAAATATTGAAGTTGTCAAGGGTTTTGTTTACTTGGATTTACAGTCAATGCCTATGGAAGCAGCAATCAGAAAGTCATTGGGCAATCCACTGCAGAAGATCAAGAGGAACCATTCTGGAGAAGGACGTCATAATTCCTAAAGTAGAGGACCAGAATAAAAGAGGCAGATTCCCAATGAGATGGATTGGATAATGACTATAGCACTGAGCTCACCCATAGCAAGGATTGTGAGGATGGCAAAGGACTACGTATTGTTTTATCTGTTGTGCATAAGATTGTTGAGTCAGAATCAACTTGTTAATACCTTACAACAACAAACTGACTTTAATTAAATTTAGTATGCAGTTGAGTTAGTCCCAGGCACTAAAACAAACTGTTGTTGTTAAATCCTGTCCAGTCAGTTCCAATTCATGGTGGCCCACAAAATCTAGGGATTCCATAATGAAGAAAATACCAACCCTGACTTAAGAAACTCGTTCAAGAGTTGTTGAGGGTTTTGATCTTGTGGAACATTGGAAATCAGGAATAATATTGTGAAGAATGGGAGTTTTAGAATGCTTAATTTTATTCATAAAATACCTGTACATAGATCAGGAGGCAGTTGTTTAAATAGAACAAAGAGATACTGAATGGTTTAAAATCAGGAAAGATGTGTGCCAAAGATGTATCCTTTCTCCAGTTCTTAATCTGTATGCTAAATAAATAATCTGAGAAGCTAAACTATCTGAATAAGGATTGGAGAAAGATGTATTAACAGCCTTAGATATGAAGGTAGCACACTTTGCTGGGAACAAAGAGGATTTAGGGCAATTACTGATGAAGACCAAATAATACAGCCATTGGTATGCATTACACCTCAACATGAAGGGAATAAAAAACCCTAAAACTGGGCCAATGAACAACATTATGATATATAGAGAAAATTAAAGTTGTCAAGATTATCATTTTACTTGGATCTGCAATCAGAGATCATGGAAGCAGCAATGAAGAAGCTCACCAGCTGCTTCTTGGAAACCCTATACAGTGTCACTATAGGTCAGAACTGACCTGAACGCACTTAACAACAATAATATTGCATTGGGTAAATCCACCTCAAAAGTCCTTTTCAAAGTACTAAGGAGAAAATATGTTACTTTGAGCACTAAAGTCTCACTGATCCAATCTATAGCATTTCCATCTCGTCATATGCATGTGAAAGCTGAATAGTGAATGAGGAAGGCCAGAGAAGAGTTGATGCATTTGGATTATAGAGTTGGCAAATAGTATTGAAATTAACATGGACTGCCAGAATGAACAACAAATCTGTCATGGACAGGTACAGCCAGAGTGCTCCTTAGAAATGAAGATGGTGAGACTTTGTCCCACGTACTTTGGACATGTTATGAGAAAAATCATTCCCTGGAAAAGGACATTATAAAATAAAACAATGAAAAAGAGGGAGATCCTCAGTGGGATGGACTGACAGACTGGCTGCAAAAATGAGCCAAATACCAAAACAGTTGTAAAGCTAGAGCAGGAACTGGCAGTGATTTGTTCTGTTGTATGTAGAGGTGTTGTAAGTCAAGCCTACTTGAAAACCCCTAACACCAACAAGAAGATAAAAACCAAATAGAGGGGACCATTTTAAGAAACATTTTAGAGAGCATGTGTAGAATGATTATAAATGCATCCGTAATATAATCTGTGGACAGCTCATTTTTGTAGTATGAAGTAGAGGAAGCTCAGTGAGTTCGAAGACCAGTGGTTAATAATAGTACAGCATGCAGTAAGGTTCTCATTCAAGTACTGTCGTTTTTATTTTTTATTTTTTACTTTTGAGTCTTTGACAATTGATGTAACATTAAACATGAGTCCCTCCTTTGTAAAACAGTGGAAACAGTGATAGTAAATTCTTTTCTGGTGCAGTCTCAGTTTTATGAGACAATCACGTAGGAACAAGTCTGATGAATGGTGGACATTAACAACAATGCCTATTAATTTCAGATGTTTACTATATACCAGGCATATTCTAAGCCTTTTCTGTGTATTCACTGATCTAATTCTCAAAAATCTTCTTGAAGTACTACTTTCTTCCTGATTTATACGAGAGAAAATGGAAGCATAAAAAGTTTGATTTGTTCATAGTCATATAAGTTTTAAGAGTTTCTAGGACAATTCCCTAAACTGTGATAAATTAGAAGTACAAAACTTAAGTCAAAAATGTGAAAAGCAATGTGCAAAATTATAAACTAATTATTTCGTGAAAAGGGTGAATAGGGTACCCTCCTTTGGTAATTTTTATGATAATTATTTAACATGTGAAAGTTGTTAAGAAATAGTTTCTTAGTTGTCTTGAAGCTAAACTAAAAAAGAAAGTAATTTAATTAAATTTGAAAATAGAAGGATTTAAATGTTTTTTTTAATACCCTAGGAAAAATAACATGAGAAAATGATTATGAAATTCAACAGTAGCTGTTTTGTCTAAAATAGAATCCTGTAATAAAATGTATTGTATTGTGACAGTTTTCTCTAAGATAGTGGAAATACGCAACACAAGAATAAAAGGGCTATGTTTTGAGTTTTTTTTAGAAAAACAAACTGCATCTAAAAATTTACCTGTAGTCATTTTACGCTTCACAGCAGGTAGAAAATCCTTGACTTTCTCTTTTATGTGTGCAGGATGATGCACTGGATACAGGTCAGTGTGAACCACAAGGTCAGGGGTTCAAACTCATCAGCTGGTCCTCGGTTGCCATGAGTCCTAACTGACTTGAAGGCGCTTAACAACAACAACAACAAGGTAACATTTACATCAGTGTGAAAGTTTTAAATGGGAATATAAGAAACTCTTAAAAATTAAAGTCAATCTCAATAGGTATTGTCTAAATGTTGATTTTAATGCATATTATTTTATATATGGGATTATTATAATAAATCTATATGACTGGCTTTGTTTTCTGTCTTCAAATTGAACAGAATGTAGCATAGCACTTCTCTGGAAACATTCCTTAACTCACCAACATTCCTTCACAGAAATATATCATGCATATTTCTAATTGGATAATTTAGTTGATGGGCCTATGAATCTGAGATATACTCTTCTCAGCTCCAAGAATTGACAGATCATCCTTCACCAAAAAAATCAATGCAAAAAGACTACAAGAAAGTGTCAGGACACAATGAAAGCAATAAAAAGAAATTGCACACATTTTTCTCTAGTTTCCTCAATAATTCAACTGGGCTTTCGAGTACTATTCCCTTGTAGTAGCTTTTATTCTACTTCCTTTCATAGCTACGACTGTAATATTTCAGAAGGGAAAAGTTGATACCCGTTGTCTTATTTCAATACTTTTATGCCCATAATATCTTTGCCATGAAATCTTCATTCTTCATGCCATAAGTAAGTGTATTTCCTGAGTCTCCCTAATGATTTGAGAAGATTCTGCTAGCTCAGTATTTTAATATTTTTTATGATTTTTTATTTTGTATGTATGTGTGTGTGATCAGAGTGACAGCTTTTATGTTCTTAACTTTTAATCCAAATATTGGTTTAGGCTACTGTTATGGATTGAATGGTGTCCCCTCAAAACATGTCAGTTTGGGTAGGCCATGATTCTCAATGTTATATAATTATCCTCCATTTGTGATCAGATGTAATTATCCTATGTATTCTAAAACCTAACCTTAATAACATGAATGTGGCAGCTGTAGATGCAGTTATGTTAATAAGACAGGACACAATGTACAGGATTAATTTGTATCTTGAGTTAATCTCTTTTGTGATACATTCACCCCACTGCCATCAAGTCGAAGCTGAGTCATAGTGACCACGTGTAAGATCTCAGAGGCTGTATATCTTTATGGATGCAGAAAGCCTGCTTTTTCTCCTGCAGAGTGGCTAATGTGTTCGAACTACCAGCCTTCTGGCTATCAGCGTAGTGCTTACTCTGCAGTGCCACCAGGACTCCTTTTTTGAGATATACAATTATTTAAACAAATGAGCAGTGATTGAAGGAACTGACTACCACTATGAAACAAGAGACATAAGTGGACAGTATACATTAGACCCTGAACCCCTATGCTGAGAAACTCCGAGACCCAGGGGAAGATTGATCCCAAGACTCTTGTAAATTTCCAAAGAATTGTAGACAACAAAGTCTACAGCTGGTGCTCTGAATTCAAACATCTTGTCTTCTAAACTGTTAGAGAATAAATTTCTGTTTGTTAAAGTCATGCATTTGTAGAATTTCTGTTACAGCACCATTAGATAACTAATATAGCTACCATAAAGCAGAAAATATACCTATTTCGTTTATCTATCAGCCTTTGGATATTTTATCATGAGGAACCAGTCTCTTTAGAAGGACATCACGCTTGGAAAAGTAGGGGTCAGTAAAAAAGAGAAGAACTCTCAATGGTATTGATTGATGCATTGGCTACCACAATAGGCTAAAGCATAGTAGTGAATGTAAGGATGCACAGGACTGGAGAGTGTTTTAATCTGTCAATAGGGTCACTATGAGTCAGAGGAGACTAAAGGGCACCTAGCAACAATAATATGGAGTTGTAACAATTAAATAGATTCGTTGATGTCAAATACTTAATGCAGTTCTCACAAAGTACTTTAATATTTACTGTCAGTTTACTTATTTTCTAAAATCAAGTAAGGCACACTTACCAGTAATCCAGTTGGCAAAAGGCTATTTCTATGATTCAATAAAAATTATTTCTATGTGAGAGTAAACAAGTGTAGAAAGATAACTGAGTGTGGTGAGTGATAGCTAATCTTGAGATTCTGGAAAAATAGAAAACACAGACTAATATAGAAAAGGGATTCTACGAAGACAAAATACCACATATTTATAAAATACTTCAGGGTCACATAACTGGAAATGTACATAGACCTAACTAGACCATCAATTTGTGATTTACAAAGATGATATTAATAGCATCAATGTCAAGCATATATGTATCATATAGTTTTGTTTTCACAATAATTAAGCTGCAATTAATAGTTATTAATTCAGATGAGATCATTGTAGACATTTAATATCCATTAAAATGTATAAATCAAAGAGTAGAAGATAGAATTGAAAAAGAAACAAGAAACATTTTCTTTCTAAGAAGATTTTATGAAATGAATCCTCTCACAAGTAATTATAAACTTTGGTAAAAATAAACAGTAGAATTCGAAAGCAATAAGAAACTAAAAGAAAGTATACCATTTACCGAAGGAAATGATACTTGATGAGCTTCCCAATTTTTTTTCTTTTTCTGGAGACATTTCCAACTTTCTGAGATAAAGGATGCAAGAGCTGAAGCAGAAAGCTAAGGTCTTATTTGAATAAGAATTAATATGATTAAATTTGGGGATACCAGAATAGCTGGAATGTGAGAGGTTAAATTTAAGAACAAAGGGACTCAACTAGGAAAAAGCACAAAAATCCAAATATCTATTTAGTTTAAATAATTTAAAGATATTGAAACCATGGTGATGGGGAACATTATTAGAAATATAGTTAAAGTAATGAGTGACAGCTGACAGAACAAAGAAAATATTTCAATGACTATAATAAAGATGCTACTAGTAGTCTGTCAGTTTGTTATACTGTGGTGGCTTGTGTGTTGCTTTTATTCTGGAAGCTATGCCATGGGTGTTTTAAATACCATCAGGGTCACCCATAGTGTATAGGGGTCAGCTGAGCTTGCAGACAAAGAGAGACTAGGAAGAAGGAGAGATGGACTATTTCTGCATATTTAGTTGCTGAAAACTTTATGAATGGCAGTGGTATACTGTCAGCACCAGAATATTGAAGCATGATGACGAGCACCAGAATATTGTCATGTATAGTGCCAGAAGATGAGCCCCTCAGGTT